CAAAATTACATTATTTTTATCAATTTTAGTCATTTAGCAGACGATCTTATCCAGAGCGACTTGCAGTTTGTGAGTGCATACATTATTTATAACCTCCGTGGGAATCGAACCCACAACCCTGGCATTGCAAATGCCATGCTCTACCAACTGAGCTACATCCCTTTTCTAGTTTGCGCACAATTGGCCCAGCGTCGTCCAGGGTAGGGGAGGGAATGGCCGGCAGGGATGTTGGTAGAGCATGGTGTTTGCAACGTCAGGGTTGTGGGTTCGATTCCCGCGGGGGGCCAGTATGAAAAATAAATACAAATATGTATGTACTCACTCGCTCTGGATAAGAGCATCTGCTAAATGACTAAAAATGTAAAAAATAAAAAATATACAACATTTTCAGTATCATTAACTAAACACATTCAGCGGTTCAGGGCCTGACCACCACCTTTTGGGATATTACATTTCAGGCACCTGTCACACCCTGGTTATGGGACTCTAGTTGTTGAGCCAGGGTGTGTTTGTTCTATGTGGTGTGTTTCTATGTTGGGGGTTCTGGTTTGTTGTTTATGTTTGCCTTAGTGACTCCCAATCAGAGGCAACGAGTGTCAGCTGTTGGCTGGTTGTCTCTGATTGGGAGCCATATTTAACTGTCTGTTTTTCACTTTGTGTTGGTTTGTGTTGTAACCATAGACGTCACGCATCGTTGTTTATTGTTTTGATCGTGTGATCATTTAATAAATATAATATGTTCACCTTCAACGCTGCGCATTGGTCCTCCTCATTAGATGATCGTGACAGCACCCTAGACTTTTTAGGTGAAACATGTAAACATCAGGACAGTGGAATTCATCACATCACTGATCATGGTGTTGACATGTATGACATGATTAAATAGCAATATTCTGTGATTAAACATGGCGCACATCCCAAATTGCACACCATTCCGTTAGTGTACTACTTTTGACCAGGGCCCATAGCGCTCTGGTCAAAAGTAGTGCTCTATGTAGGGAATAGGGCGCCATTTGGGACGAACCATTGAGTTCTCATACCGTTTGCTAATCAGACCCCTCTATCCACTGTCAAACAGTAATATGTCAGAGATGAATCACAAGATACAGCAAGAATGTCACATACTCCAAACTTTTGTTTTCTAAAGGAAACATTCCTGAATCACAGTGAGCATGAATATAATGAACAACTACGTATTTTTAGAGAAATGGACCATTGTAGCTGTAGGATTGTGATCCTAGCAATTAAAAAGTAATTAACATTTTGAATCTTGATTTATCTCAAGAGAAACTGTCAGTTTCAATCAGACACGGATAGTGTTTTTTTTATGTCAAATATTGCCTACTGTCCTCATCTACCTGGTGGAATAGTTACTGTAGGTTTGTCCACAGACCGACGAAAGACCTCCTATAACTTCACAAGCTGTTTAATAGAACAGACAGCTATCAGCTCTCACTCTGACTTCACCAGATACAAATCAGGTAAAACTCAGCTTGATCTTAACCCTGACAAACTGCCTATTCCCTATATAATGCACTACTCTAACATAGTGTGCCTCTTAGGCAATAAGGTGCCATTTGGGACACAGCCCAGGACAGTCGTCTGATTAACAGTCAAGAAGACAATCACAGATGGAAGTACCAATCATTTTTCAGCCATGTTTTAGATTGTATTGCAATGTAATGTATCAACACAATATGGTACAGTACTTATACAGTTGATGACTACAACAACATACTCAGTGGACAGCAGATGGACGGATAGTTATTACTGTACAGCTTCTGTGGGGAAACATCAAGTCTCTATGGAAATATCAAACCATATACTGTAAACCACTATCATCATTTAATATACTGTACACCAGGTCCATATCTGTTTTAAAAAGAGACACAACATTGATGTAGAAATGTGAGAGAAAACAAAAGAAAAACATTACAAGTACATATACATTTGAATGGAATCAGTCAAGGTACTCCCCCCCCCCAATTTCGTGATATCCAATTACGATCTTGTCTCATTGCTGCAACTCCCCAACAGGCTCGTGAGAGGCGAAGGTCGAGTCATGCGTCCTCCGAAACATGACCCGCCAAACCGCGCTCCTTAACACCCGCCAGCTTAACCCGGAAGCCAGCCGCACCAATGTGTCGTAGGAAACGACTGAAGTCAGCCTGCAGGCGCCCGGCCCGCCACAAAGAGTCGCTAGAGTGCGATGAGCCAAGTAAAGCCCCCCTAACCCGGACGACTCTGGGCCAATTGTGCGCCGCCCTATGGGACTCCCGGTCACGGCCGGTTGTGACACAGCCTGGGAACGAACCCGGGTCTGTAGTGACCGCTGCGCCACTTGGGATTGCCAAGTCAAGGTATTTTTATGAACAAATGTTAACTCTATTTGATTATTGGGATATTGGGTATGTTATAAAGACATAATAACATAATAAACATGTAATAATACGTGTAATAAAATTATCTGTAGGATTAATCAGAGGGAGATTATTGTAAACGCAAAAGTTGTACTTCCTGTCCTCAAAATCATTGACAAAGGGGCAATCTGGGATTGGTACAAATACATTTATGGACTTTTAAATTCATGATATATAGCCATTGATTCTTGACTGCATTGTTTTACAAATCCAGGATTGCCCATTTAACCCATAATTTCTGTCATCAATAGTATACCACCGACTGTAGGCTTCTCCCTTTGCTCATTCATAAATCTACCTCTAATCTTCACCAGGTGCAAACAATGTAACTGGTCCAGATACATAGCCTATTCGTAATATCCTCTACATATGTTAAATGTTTACTGACCTTTCAAATGATGACCTCTAGAATGCTTTACATAACGCTTTACAAAAGAGCGAAAACAGTTTGAAAATAATGATTACATTTATGTGCAAAGTATAAGCTTAGAATAACTTCTCAAAGTATGATAAATTAAAAGTCACACTACATAGCAACAACATAATGAGGCTCTGTTAATTATTAACACAACAAATCAACATAAAATAGCCATTCTATAAACAAATGAGCAATGTATTGGCAAAACTAAATGAAACTAGATAAGCGTTATTTTCCTCTTAGTATCATCATCACTAGTCTCTACTTGTCCCATCTCTGGTTTGTATATACAGTTTGTGTAGATTTCATATATCTGTTCATCCGTCTATCCATCCATCCATTCCTCTTGTTTCTTCCAACCCCAGTGTGTCTCTCCGTCTGTGTGTCCCATATATACCAGAGACCTGACTGAGACCTGGGGCTGTATGTACCAAGCATCTCAGAGTAGGAGTGCTGATCTAGGATCAAGTCCTGCCTATCCATATAATCTTATTCATTATGATCTTAAAGGCAAAACTGATCCTAGATCAGTACTAGTACTCTGAGATGCTTGATACATACGGGCCCAGAATACTGGGAGCTGATCACTCTAGCTCTCCTCCAGCCAGGAGGGCTTGTCTGACCCTGGGGGCTTTAACTTGACGTTGAACTGTCTCAGTGTCTGTTCCAACTGCTGCTGGTTCCCAGCGAAGTAGGCTGAGATAGCATTATGGAAGAGGAGCAGCTGCTTGTGCATCACCTTCACCTACACACAGAGAGAGAGACAGAGAGAGAGGGAGGGAGAGAGAGAGAGATGTAGCATTATTGTAAACTAACTAACCACCTAACTAACCAATTAACTAACTAACCCACCTTGTTCTCCTCCAGGAACTTGAGTTTGATGGTGACGTCTGAGCGCAGTCGTTCGTACTTGTCTCTCTGCACCTGGTACTGCTGCTGGGACAGCTCTATACGCACCATGGTGGCAGCATCACGAGGACCCAGACTCAACTCCTCCAGGTCGGCCCTGTACGCATCAAACTCCAGCCTGGGAGAGAGAAAGGGGAGGAGAGGCAGCATATAAAAATAGGCTTGGGCGGTATCCAGATTTTCATACCGTCATACCGTTTGTTCTTCTGCCATCCCGGGATTTACGGTATTACCGGCATAGTACACAAGGGGGCACTAAAAACAAAATACATCTCAAACGCTGTTCGCTAAATGCTAACGAGAGAAAATGAACATAAATGAATTGCAAAGACAGGCAAATTCAGCTCAAAGTTATACAAGCATAGCTAGTAGCTACCAAATGTCATCTTCGGTGAGTGTAGACATTTAAAAGTGAAAGTGAATGAGAGAAATTGTGCAAATGAACAAAGTTGTGATGCATGCTTTTCTGAAGGAAGAGCATCATGTGTACACGGAGCAGAGGGGAGAAGAACGGAGGAGGAAAAAAACACTAGTTGGAAGCATAGGGAACAAATGGCAGCTGTACAGATAACCTATCCAGAGCGCTTTGACTTCTGGCAGAAAGCCATTATAAGATATCTCATGGCAAACAGTTAGTAACTTCATCACCTCATGTGCACCGCACAACAGAGACTCACTGATTGATAAAGAACGCTATGAACTCCAGCTGTTTCCCATTGTGCTATTTACAAACAAACACGTGACTGGCTTAACTGTTCTGGGGAACTACAGTAAGCTTCATAATGTAAAATAATTTGACAGGTGAAATGAACACAATCTGCTTCTGCTTTATCTCCTAACGTATTGCACAAGTTGACTGCAGGTATTAACTTAAAAAGTAGCTAGAAATATTCAGATTTATTGAAATAAATAGTTTTGACAGTATTGAAAAACCATCCCGTGGCTTTTTCCAAATACCTCAGTATACGGTATACCACCCAATCCTATAAAACACCCACATAACACCCTATAACAACGTATAACCCACAAACCCAGGTTCACCTCCTCCAGGTCTGCATGGTACACAAACTTCAGCATGACACACAGAACTATGATGTCATGTAGACAAACACACTTTATATAATGTATCTGGCAATCATAGATATAGGGCCACATTTGTGTGGTGTAAAGGAGCACAGATCTGTGTAAAAAAGACTGTAAACCTCATCATTTGGCAGTATGATCATTTGAAACTGTTGTGTTATAAGGAGGAAACTACTACAGTATCTCCAGGCCCTGCACCTTTCTAATCTTCCCATCTTTATTATTACCTTGCAGCCTCGTACAGTTTGATGGTCATCAATGTGTCCTCCATGGTCTTGTTGACCAGTGTATTGATGCTGGACACAAAAAAGTTGATGGCTCCAAGCAGAGCCTCCCCGTTCCTACACAACAACTTCTGGGTCTCTGCGTTGTAGCCAAACTCATCCTGTGGACACAAACACTTGCGTTTACATACTGACTGTTCCTCTACATGAGGTATTTATGGATTGATTACAATTCAGGAAGGTAGCCTGGATTCCAAAGTGAAACTCATAGGCTTCGTTTCCAACCAAAAATTACAGCTTGGATTTTCAGGCCACATTTCTGGAGGCCAATTTCACACAGTGTGCCATCTGCAGCTGATTTCTGGCTGGGCTGAGGTCTACGGGTTAAGGTCAGGGGTCAGAATTCAGGGGTAAGAGGTCTTTCTCACCCGTAGTTCAGGTGATTTCTGGCTGAGGTCCGCGAAGGTGTCCCCCAGGGCCTGCTGGGTCTGGACCATGTTGTAGAAGTGGCTGGTCAGGGCGCTGGTCAGTCTCAGGACAGACTCGTATTTCCTCTTGGTGTCCCTGAGCACGTCTATCTGGGCCTCCAGCTCCAGGTCCACCGTCCGAGAACCACGGCCAAACCGCTCCGAAAACATCTGCTTGGTACACTGGTGTAAAGATGGAGAGATGTGATTAGGATAAAGGACAGAACAGAAGAGGTGATGAGAATACATACAAGCCCTTAACCAACAATGCAGTTTTAAGAAAAATATATGCTTGGCACACTGGAGAGATGTGATCAGAATAGAACCGAATAGAACAGTTACTCTTGTATGAAGACAAATGATCATACCAGTGCTGTCGCAATCACACCCATAAAACACAGTGAGGATTCAGTGAAGTATGGCTTCAAGACATTATCCCCAGGAGACAGGTTTTGTTCTGTACCTTGTAGGTGTTGATGCCCCACTTTTTAACACTGTCTAGTTTCTCCACAGCCACACCACGGTTAGCCTCCTCCGCTGACATGTTCTGGTTGCTATTACTGTGGCACATCCCCGACCCTGACACAAAGGATAATAAACAACATGCTCACTCTTAAAAGTGGTTGGTTGCTGAGACCTAGTTGATAAAGTCTATAGTAAATAAGATGGACCTTCCATCTCATTTACTATGAACCCTGTCACAAAACCAGCTTCAGTCAGTAGCTCTATGATACACAGATTACACACAAAGGCAGATCAGTGCTTCCTTGGGCACTCTCCTCATCACTACTCCCCAAAGCAAACACCTGAAATATTCCTTTCATGTACCAAGTATGTCTTTGAGACAAATAGTATGACAGTGATTGAGTGATCGGTTGAGAGTGAATGAAATGAATGAGTGAACAGGGTGAAGCAGAGTAAAGGAGGGTGGTGATGTATGAGTCCAGTGTAGGGCTGCAAAGTTCCAGTAACATTCCCAGGTAAAAATGTCCACGTTTTCCAGAAACCATGGTTGCAGAATTCAGGATTTAGTGCTTATAGTAATTCTGGAATTACCTTCCAATTCCGGAAATCTTCCGACCAGGATATCTTGAAAACCTGGGAATTTTGGGGAACCTGTAATTTTGGGAAACCTGTAATTTTGCAACCCTAGTCCTGTGGTACCTGTGAATGGCTGGTCAGTCTGGTTCTGGTTGGCTATCCTGCTGGCTGCTGACTGGACGGGGACCAGACCTACACCCTGTCCCCTGGACTTCATTCGCAGGTCTGGAATAGACATGGGGGGATGGGAGGGGGAGGATGGGGAGAGGAGATGTGAGGATATGCGATATATGAGATTGAGAAAATAGATGAAGGTGTTACAGGGGTGAGAGGATGTGATAGTGAGTCATGCAGGTTTTCCATGTCGAAAAAACAACAGAATTAAAAAGCAGATGGAGAAAAATATGAAATATGAACATGTTGAGAACATAAGTAGTAGTAATGTATGAAATGATGCACATGTCATGTGGTGAGTTAATGAACCTCAATATTCCATTAGTTAACCGCTTCATGTGACATTTGCATACATAGGATGCATACAAAATGGCGCCCTATTCCCTACAGGGGAGCCATAGGGCTCTGGTCAAAAGTAGTGCCCTATCCATTTGGGATTTCATCATTAGAAACATTCACACAAACATAACACAGTAAATCCAACAGCTCTGCAATGAAGTCAATCAGGTTAGTAAACAGCTAGTTTTTTTTGCTAACATCCACTGACATGCATTCAGTATGCATTGGACAGTACAGCAGCATTCCCTTCTTTCCAGTGACATCTGTAGACAAGAGGTACACAGTGTTGTTGAAGAGAGGGACTTCAACTGTGTCTGGGGTTAAACAGCACCCAGGCTACAGGCAAGGCTCATTCTCCCACAGAATTAAAGAGTAACTAATGAAAATACCCTTGAAAGTGTAAACAGGTGAAGAAAAGACAAGAGGGGAAAAAAAACGGTTAACGGTAGACTCAGCAGTATGACGTAGATGCAGAGAGTAAACAGCATAGTGGATCAATTTCCGCAACAACTAAGAGTGTTGAAGCTCGAGGCTCAACTTCTCAGATTGGTGCCCTGGCTACCACGCTGTGAACAGCGTGAAATGAACCCGTGCACATGCGCAGATACTGTGTGACTATTATTATTTATTTGCACCAAAGAAAACAAGTGATAGACAACAATCCAGATAAAAACAAATTAAAACGGGTGTGGTTGGAAGCCCAAGGGCTTACATGAAAATCAAACAACAACAAAAACAAACATATACAGTGCATTCGGAAAGTATTCAGACCCCTTGACTTTTTCCACATTTTCTTACGTTACAGCCTTATTCTTAAAATGGATGAAATAAAAAAAATGTGCTCCTCAATCCACACACCATAATGACAAAAGCGAAAACAGGTTTTTAGAAATGTTTGCTAATGTATTAAGAATAAAAAAAAACTGAAATACCTTATTTACATAAGTATTCAGACCCTTTGCTATGAGACTCGAAATTGAGCTCAGATGCATCCTGGTTCCATTGATCATCCTTGAGATGTTTCTACAACTTGATTGGAGTCTACCTCGGGTAAATTCAAATTGGACATGATTTGGAAAGGCACATACCTGTCTACATAAGGTCCCACAGTTGACAGCGCATGTCAGAGCAAAAACCAAGCCATGAGGTCGAAGGAATTGTCCGTAGAGCTCCAAGACAGGATTGTGCCGAGACACAGATCTGGGGAAGGGTGCCAAAACATTTCTGCAGCATTGAAGGTCCCCAAGAAAACAGTGGCCTCCATCATTCTTAAATGGAAGAACTTTGGAACCACCAAGACTCTCCCTAGAGCTGGCCGCCTGGCCAAACTGACCAAGATTTAACTATTTGGCCTGAATGCCAAGCGTCACGTCTGGAGGAAACCTGGCACCATCCCTACGGTGAAGCATGGTGGTGGCAGCATCATGCTGTGGGGATGTTTTTCAGCGGCAGGGACTGGGAGACTAGTCAGGATCGAGGGGAAAGATGAACGGAGCAAAGTACAGAGAGGTCCTTGATGAAAACCTGCTCCAGAGCGCTCAGGACCTCAGACTAGGGCGAAGGTTCAATTTCCATTAGGACAACGACCCTAAGCACACAGCCAAGAGAACGCAGGAGTGGCTTCAAGACAAGTCTCTGAATGTCCTTGAGTGGCCCAGCCAGAGCCCGGACTTGAACCCGATTGAACATCTCTGGAGAGACCTGAAAATAGCTGTGCAGCAACGCTCCCCATCCAACCTGACAGAGCTTGAGAGGATCTGCAGAGAAGAATGGGAGAAACTCCCCAAATACAGGTGTGCCAAGCTTGTAGCGTCATACCCAAGAAGACTCAAGGCTGTAATCGCTGCCAAAGGTGCTTCAACAAAGTACTGAGTAAAGGGTCTATTGTGTGTAGATTGATGAGGGAAAAAAACAATTATGGGGTCTGAATACTTTCTGAATGCACTGCAAGTACAAAAATGTTTGTTAAAACAGATAAAAACCTACTAATTATAAATGTATAGATGAATTGATCAGTAATCACTGTGTGAGAGCGAAGTCTTGCATCTCGCTCATCTCAATAGCTGCAGTGCTGCTCGTGGCAACATCATTTAGCTGATTCTACCTTTAAAGAGGGAAATATACAGTCATGTGGAAGGCGGTTGAAAGGCGTGAAGCCACCTGTGACCTGAGGTTCGGCTCCAGGGACAAGGGCACAGTTAGGGGCAGGGGGGCGTCTCCTGTCCACATACTGAGGGTTGAAGCAGATAGCAGGGCCTGGGGGACAGGGTTGGTTAAGATAGTCAGTAAGAGAGAGTAGGAAGTAGCTCTCAAAATCAAAATAGCCTATACAGTAGAGACTGTCTGCTACTCATAGACTCCTGAAAGAACAGAAGATTAGGTCAAAATAGAGAGTCACTGATGCAGAACAGCATGCAGGCAAGCTCCTAAAATAAATAAAAACTGAGTTGAATTCCATCATGACAAACCACATTGGGGCAGTTGAAAATGTAGTCTTCACCATTCTTAATGCTAATAAACAAAGCAAGCAGCACAGACCTTGGTAAAGGGACTAGGCTATTTATTGATTCAATAAGGCCTAAGTGGACATAATTAAGTGGACATTCCAGTAATGCACTGCAGTGAGAGCAGTAGGGAGCGATAGAGAGCTGTCTGTACCTTTAATGGAGCTAGTCAACTAGTGAGAGCAGTAGAGCTGTGTGTACCTTTGATGGAGGAGGTGGGTATGATGCCCCCTGCAGGTCCTCCGTAGCCTCCAGAAACGATGCTGGTCTCATTCAGGTTGGGACCAGACACCATCACCTGCTGCAGGTCCTAAAGTGAAGCCACAACACATCAATGGAATAGATATAGCCTAACTCTAATCAGTCCCTCACGGATTTCGCAGAGATGTATGATATTTGCAGCCAAAAATGCTTGATTTTGCTGCGCCAATTCTGACATTATGTGGTAAATGTGCGGTGATTGGTTGAAATTACAAGCCCTCTTTTTGTACTGCGGTGATGGGTCAGTTTTATACAATAATATTGCGATGATTTGACTATTTTATGCAGAAATAGTGCAGTGATTGGTCAAATTTGCAAGCCCTGCATAATATGCGGGAATTTATGATTTTGCAACCACAAAAAAAACATCTGAATCCTGGAGGGACTGACTAATGCGTAATCCTCCTGTAGAGTTTATTGTCAACCTGACGAAGACCTTCCATATAGGCCTAATCTCTGTTGTACACAGACACTCACACATGAAAATGGTTCAGTAGATTAGGTGAAAAACAATTGATAGAGGTTTATTGTGGTTAGTCTGAAAGTCTTCTATGTTAACATGTACACTACATCTACATCTACAGTTATCCTACCACAACGTGACACACTCTCTCTCATCCCTTCTACTGCATATCCCTACCTTCTCATCTAAGGTCCACTGAATCTTTCCAGCCTGCACAGAAGTGAGACATAATACAGTACAATAAAATACACAAACAAATAGTTGATGTAATGAGAGGTCACCACACACAGTATACATATAAAAACTGTACATAGTAACTGTATCCCAAATGGCACCCTATTCCCATAGTGCCCTACTTTTGACCACAGCCCTATGGGCCCTGGTCAAAAGTAGTGCACTACATAGAGAATATGGTGCTATTTGGGACACAGACCATATGACCCACCTGCTCCAAACTGTCATCCTCGTCCAGGGTCTCTCCATTGCTGTTGATAGGAATCTCCATGGTAGCAGCCTTGCCCATAAAACTGTCTGCCATGGTGGTAATCTGCAGGATAGAGAGCATTGGGAGAGAGACAGATGGCAGATGGAGGGAGAGAGAGAGAGAGAGAGAGGGGAGAGGAGAGAGAGAGGGGGGGGGGGGAGAGGAGAGAGAGAGAGGGGGGGGGGGAGGAGAGAGAGAGTGAGAGCACGATCATCACACACACTGAGCTTTTCACATTAATGATAGGAATGGTTTCAATATAAATATGGGTAGCATCTGCGTAATTGAGCATAATATCCAGCGTAGCCAGCTGCGATGTAAAGATGCAGTGTCCACATTCCTTAGCTAGCTGGCTGAGCTGTCCACTGCACTGGTACCGTTACAGTGCTGAAGGCAGCGATAACCTGCTCTCACAACAAGGCATCACATTTCACAATACAACACACTACAACAGCAATAGCTAGCTATTCGTGATCATTATTCGTGTTGTATCTAGTTAGCTTGCTAGTCCCAGCAATACGACACCAAGCTAGCCACCTCCAACCTAGCAGCCCTAGCCAGCTGGCTAAACTGGTGGACCTGGCGAAAATGATGATGATCTCAGTTAGCATGATCTGCTAGCTAGCTAACATTACCTGCTGTTCAGGTGCAGTAGTCCAGTCTCCCAAAATGTCAAATGTAGCTGCTTATTCCGCACGGTATTTCATAAAATATTACTATTATGAACGGAATGACACCGTTGCAATGTTTATTTTTCGTCTGTTGATGAACGCATGACTGTAGTCGTGATTCCGTTAGTATCCCCCGGTAGAACCGAACACAGTATGCAGATAAAATCCCTGAAACCCAGTCCCTCCCTCCCTCCTCTGGCCCTACAAGTAACGTTACGTCAAGTCGCCACGTCGAACACCTGATGACATCAACCCCTTCTGCTTCTTCTGCTGTGGCTTTTACACGGCGGTTGGCAACCAACTTTAAGGTGCATTACCGCCACCAACTGGACTGGAGTGTGAACCAGAGACAATGAAGGTCTAAATCCTACCCAATAATCTCGTCTCCCTAAGGAAACGAAATACTGCATCCCCTGAAGATTTCTCCAGCAGTTCACTTAATCCTGGCTGTTCAACCCCATTACTCCTCAAATCTAATAACAATCACTCCCTTTCTCCCACATATTTCTGGCACTGAAATAGAACATGCTCCACTGTCTCCATCTTATGGCGGACTACAACTCAAAAAGGTGTATTGCAGCCACCAACTGGACGGGTTGAAACCAAAACAAGGTAGAAAGAAATCTATACATAATAGGGAAACTAACTTAATCCACCAGCGTTGTTGTTCACTAGTTTACTCCAATTGGGGAAGGGGTGGTGGGGTTGGAAAGTAATGTAATATAATTTAAAAAAGGATATGTGTGTGTGTATGGATGTATGTATATATGTATGAATGTATATATATGTGTGTGTATGTGTGTGTATGTATGTGTATATTATAACCGCGATCGATAATAGACAGTACTGTGCAGCCGTTTTCATTGACCTGGCCAAGGCTTTCGACTCTGTCAACCACCGCATTCTTATTGGCAGACTAAATAGCCTTGGTTTCTCAAATGACTGCCTCGCCTGGTTCACCAACTACTTCTCAGATAGAGTTCAATGTGTCAAATCGGAGGGCCTGTTGTCTGGACCTATGGCAGTCTCTATGGGGGTGCCACAGGGTTCAATTCTTGGGCCGACTCTTTTCTCTGTGTATATCAATGACGTCGCTCTTGCTGCTGGTGACTCTCAGATCCACCTCTACGCAGACGACACCATTTTGTATACATCTGGCCCTTCATTGGACACTGTGTTAACAAACCTCCAAACGAGCTTCAATTCCATACAACACTCCTTCAGTAGCCTCCAACTGCTCTTAAACACTAGTAAAACTAAATGCATGCTCTTCAACCGAACGCTGCTTGCACCCGCCCACCCGACTAGAATCACTACTCTCGACGGGTCTGACCTAGAGTATGTGGACAACTACAAATATCTAGGTGTCTGGTTAGACTGTAAACTCTCCTTCCAGACTCACATTAAGAATCTCCAATCCAAAGTTAAATCTAGAATCGGTTTCCTATTTCGCAACAAAGCCTCCTTCACTCATGCTGCCAAACATGCCCTCGTAAAACTGACTATCCTACCGATCCTTGACTTCGGCGATGTCATTTACAAAATAGCCTCCAACACTCTACTCAGCAAATTGGATGTAGTCTATCACAGTGCCATCCGTTTTGTCTCCAAAGCCCCATATAATACCCACCACTGTGACCTGTACGCTCTTGTTGGCTGGTCCTCACTACATATTCGTCGCCAAACCCACTGGCTCCAGGCCATCTATAAATCACTGCTGGGCAAATCCCAGCCTTATCTTAGCTCATTGGTCACCATAGCAACACCCACCCGTAGTCTGCGCTCCAGCGGGTATATCTCACTGGTCATCCCCAAAGCCAACACCTCCTTTGGCCGCAATTCCTTCCAGTTCTCTGCTGCCAATGACTGGAACAAATTGCAAAATTCTCTGAAGCTGGAGACACTTATCTCCCTCACTAACTTTAAGCATCAGTTGTCAGAGCACCTTACCGATCACTGCACCTGTACACAGCCCATCTGAAATTAGCCCGCCCAACTACCTCATCCATATATTGTTATTTATTTTGCTCATTTGTACCCCAGTATCTCTATTTGCACATCATCTCTTGCACATCTATCATTCCAGTGTTAATACTAATTGTAATTATTTTGCACTATAGCCTATTTTATTGCCTTACCTCCATAACTTGCTAAATTTGCACACACTGTATATATATGTATTTCTGTTGTATTTTTTTGACTTTGTTTTGTTTTACCCCATATGTAACTCTGTGTTGTTGTTTTTATCGCACTGCTTTGCTTTATCTTGGCCAGGTCGCAGTTGTAAATGAGAACTTGTTCTCAACTGGTTTACCTGGTTAAATAAAGGTGAAATAAAAAAAATATAAAAAAATATGTGTATGTGTATGTGTGTATATATACAGTTGAAGTTGGAAGTTTACATACACTTAGGTTGGAGTCATTAAAACTCGTTTTTCAACCACTCCACAAATTTCTTGTTAACAAACTATAGTTTTGGCAAGTCGGATAGAACATCTACTTTGTTCAAATTTTCCAACAATTGTTTACAGACAGATTATTTCACTTATAATTCACTGTATCACAATTCCAGTGGGTCAGACGTTTACATACACTAAATTGACTGTGCCTTTAAACAGCTTGGAAAATTCAAAAAATTATGTCATGGCTTTAGAAGCTTCTGATAGGCTAATTGACATCATTTGAGTCAATTGGAGGTGTACCTGTGGATTTATTTCAAGGCCTACCTTCAAACTCAGTGCCTCTTTGCTTGACATCATGGGAAAATCAAAAGAAATCAGCCAAGACCTCAGAAGAAAAATTGTAGACCTCCACAAGTCTGGTTCATCCTTGGAAGCAATTTCCAAATGCCTGAAGGTACCACGTTCATCTGTACAAACAATAGTACGCAAGTATAAACACCATGGGACCACGCAGCCGTCATACCGCTCAGGAAGGAGACGTGTTCTGTCTCCTAGAGATTAACGTACTTTGGTGTGAGTGCAAATCAATCTCAGAACAACAGCAAAGTACCTTGTGAAGATGCTGGAGGAAACAAGTACAAAAGTATCTATATCCACAGTAAAACGAGTTCTATATCGACATAACCTGAAAGGCCGCTCAGCAAGGAAGAAGCCACTGCTCCAAAACCGCCATAAAAAAGCCAGGCTACGGTTTGCAACTGCACATGGGGACAAAGATCGTACTTTTTGGAGAAATGTCCTCTGGTCTGATGAAACAAAAATATAACTGTTTGGCCATAATGACCATCGTTATGTTTGGAGGAAAAGGGCGGTTGCTTGCAAGCCGAAGAACACCTTCCCAAACGTGAAGCACGGGGTGGCAGCATCATGCTGTGGGGGTGCTTTGCTGCAGGAGGGACTGCAGCAAAGACAACAGTCAGGAAATTTCAAGACAACAGTCAGGAAATTTAAGCTTGGTCGCAAATGGGTCTTCCAAATGGACAATGACCCCAAGCATACTTCCAAAGTTGTGGCAAAATGGCTTAAGGACAACAAAGTCAAGGTATTGGAGTGGCCATCACAAAGCCCTGACCTCAATCCTATAGAAAATGTGTGGGCAGAACTGAAGAAGCGTGTGCGAGCAAGGAGGCCTACAAACCTGACTCAGTTACACCAGCTCTGTCAGGAGGAATGGGTCAAAATTCACCCAACTTATTGTGTGATGCTTGTGGAAGGCTACCTGAAACGTTTGACCCAAGTTAAACAATTTATAGGCAATGCTACCAAATACTAATTGAGTGTATGTAAACTTCTGACCCACTGGAATGTGATGAAATAAATAAAAGCTGAAATAAATCATTATCTCTACTATTATTCTGACATTTCACATTCTTAAAATAAAGTGGTGATCCTAACTGACCTGAAACAGGGAATTTTTTACTAGGATTAAATGTCAGGAATTGTGAAAAACTGAGTTTAAATGTATTTGGCTAAGGTGTATGTAAACTTCCGACTTCAACTGTATATGTACAGTGAGGGAAAAAAGTATTTGATCCCCTGCTGATTTTGTACGTTTGCCCACTGACAAAGACATGATCAGTCTATAATTGTAAGGGTAGGTTTATTTGAACAGTGAGAGACAGAATAGCAACAAAAAAATCCAGAAATACGCATGTCAAAAATGTTATAAATTGATTTGCATTTTAATGAGGGAAATAAGTATTTGACCCCTCTACAAAACATGACTTAGTACTTGGTGGCAAAACCCTTGTTGGCAATCACAGAGGTCAGACATTTCTTGTAGTTGGCCACCAGGTTTGCACACATCTCAGGAGGGATTTTGTCCCACTCCTCTTTGCAGATCTTCTCCAAGTCATTAAGGTTTCGAGGCTGACGTTTGGCAACTTTCAGCTCCCTCCACAGATTTTCTATGGGATTAAGGTCTGGAGACTGGCTAGGCCACTCCAGGACCTTAATGTGCTTCTTCTTGAGCCACTCCTATGTTGCCTTGGCCGTGTGTTTTGGGTCATTGTCATGCTGGAATACCCATCCACGACCCATTTTCAATGCCCTGGCTGAGGGAAGGAGGTTCTCACCCAAGATTTGACGGTACAATGCCCCGTCCATCGTCCCTTTGATGCGGTGAAGTTGTCCTGTCCCCTTAGCAGAAAAACACCCCCAAAGCATAATGTTTCCACCTCCATGTTTGACGGTTGGGATGGTGTTCTTGGGGTCATAGGCAGCATTCCTCCTCCGCCAAACACGGCGAGTTGAGTTGATGCCAAAGAGCTCGATTTTGGTCTCATCTGACCACAACACTGTAACCCAGTTCTCCTCTGAATCATTCAGATGTTCATTGGCAAACTTCAGACGGGCCTGTATATGTGCTTCCTTGTGCAGGGGGACCTTGCGGGCGCTGCAGGATTTCAGTCCTTCACGGCGTAGTGTGTTACCAATTGTTTTCTTGGTGACTATGGTCCCAGCTGCCTTGAGATCATTGACAAGATCCTCCCGTGTAGTTCTGGGCTGATTCCTCACCGTTCTCATTATCATTGCAACTCCACGAGGTGAGATCTTGCATGGAGCCCCAGGCCGAGGGAGATTGACAGTTCTTTTGTGTTTCTTCCATTTGCAAATAATCACACCAACTGTGGTCACCTTCTCACCAAGCTGCTTGGCGATGGTCTTGTAGCCCATTCCAGCCTTGTGTAGGTCTACAATCTTGTCC